CAGTAAATAGCTAACATTAATTAGATCAGCAACTGAATTCCAAGCAGTTACTAATAATGGTCGTTCGTTTTCTCTGTTTCACTATAGTCGAAGAAATGTATCTAACATAAATCTATACAGTCATTACCTAATGTACCACAACAACTAAATAAAAAAAAATCATCTAAGAACCTTCCATTTGCATCTTTGACTAAACTCATTGAACAAAGTCATGCAAATCAACAAATGGATTAACTAAGTTCTCAACATTTCCAGTGAAGAGATTACCTTCTACAGGTGCTGCATGTTAACTTGTGTAAAACCACATAGCCTACCACATTAGATCAGCCATTATGCCAACTTCAACAGAAGAAGTGACAAGCCTGCCGGTGCGCAAAAAACTAAACAGCACTCTTGAGCTATCAGGATTCAAACTAACAATTTCATCTCAATAATACAAAAAAAAAAAACAAAATGATGAGAACTCCGACAAAGAAAAAGAAAAAAAAAAAATTCACATACAGTGGTATTGATCTAAAAAACATATGACAGGAATCAAAACAAAACAACAACCATACAAAAGAGAATAGATAGCAGCATTAACAGCATAGCAGGCTTCCGCTTCGATTGACAAAATTTACGTACCTAGAATTAGGCGACGAAGGCATCAGCCTCTGTCGAGAAAATTCTCGCTTTCTCAATATAAAATTTTATGATTCATGAGTACGTAGCTTCTGTTATATAATAAGGATAAGAGATGGGGGGTCGGCTGCATTTTCCGAGCTTCACTCTTTTAAACAATCCCCTTTATAGTAAAAAAGAAAAAGTCATAAATAGGATTAAAAAAAGCCATCAAATATATATAATATAATTATATTACTGTTATTTTTTTTATTAACAAATAAAACTGAAAATTAATATATAATATTTTCTAAAATAATTTTTAAATTCTCATAAATTTTAAATAAAAAATTTCAAGATGTGTTTTAGTCATATTAGACCAGCTTTAATAACAAAAAAATATAATTTAATATATGAACCAAACACCTCAATTGCCACGCCGTTGCAATGAAGTTACCTGAATTACTAGTTAATGGTCCCGAATAATTGCCATGACAGCTGCAACAAAGCTTAAGAAAAAGGAAAACATAACAAAATCCAGGACATGTTTATTAGAAATGTGCATCGATCTGACCAAAAAAATTTTCTAGACATGCGAATAGAATTTGTGATGAATAATAGTGGCAAGATTACACATTTTAGCATTGACAGCTGACTTTTCTATTGGTACCATGATTTACTAGCAAAAGAAGCAAACTCCAACCCCTATTTTTCTTTTATGCTTATCTATTTTTGTTCTTGGAGTTTCCTGCATTCCCCGTACTTGAAAATCTGCATGCAAAAGCAAAATAGCTCTTAATTGATCAAATCACTAAAAAAATCTCAGAGGCTTGTGGCCATCAGGTGGACCAAGAGCCTTGGTTTCCCC